AATAGTTTTACATATCTACCCCAAAACACTTGAATGCAGTTCACTACTGTCAATATGGTATGGCTATGTGCAGCTGTGAATACAGTTAACCCAATTAGATCTCAACAGCCAATCAGCAAGAAGAATAGAGGAAAGCTGCTTATCTGGTTTAAAATTTTAAAATTTGGTTTAAAAATAGCAAGGTATATAGAAATGTAGGTTATATGACATGTTTCTACCGATTTACAACCCAAAAGACTTCTTTTCCTGGCTAATACTTGTAAAAAAACAAAGTAACTATTCCTATTATAAGTATGTGGAAGCCTACACAGGTGTTCATTCAGCAGTAAAGTAATTAAGCGAACAGCCAATCAGAGACCAGATCTCCAAACAGGGTGCACCTGCTGCCCATATTTGGGCATTGGCCCTATGCCCAAATATGGTCACACTCCAATCTTGGCAACACACACTGCTACAGTACATAACCTATAACACAAACAAAAAGTCACAATAAAACCATACTAAAATCCTGTACCAAGAAAATTTTAAAAACACCTGGGGGTATTTGGCCACTGTACCTTCATGCCAAATTTCATGTTATTTGGTCCAAAAATGAAGGAGTTGAATCAATTTAAAGAAATGGCAGGAGGAGAAGATGAAAAAGAAACGTCAGCAAAAACAATATGACATCACCACTAGGTGGTGAAGTCATAATTACGTCAATTTCCATAGAGAGTAGGAGATAAAAGATATTCTATCACGTAGCCTTTCTTTGTACTAAAGTTTGGAGTGATCGCAGTGCAGGGCGACAGCCGATCCACAAGGGTGTCTCAGAATTTGAAACGGAGAGAATAGCTGTCACTGAAGCAACGAGAAAGGCCAGGAAAGCGCGTCAACAAAAGGACTGACTGGCTGCAGTGGCTTTCACAAAGTGTGTAGTAAACGTGCATAAACTTGCAAGAAGCTTCAACTTCGAGCCCACGTTACAAGTTCGACAAAACCATACCGCATTTTTGGTCAGAAAAATTTATAACTCTAAAAAAGCAAATATTAACATTGGTGAAGGAACGAGATCGTGGAACTCTAGTTTCTTGTTGTAACCAGGAAACGGCGCCGCTTGTTAGTCCCAGTAATCTCGATGCACTTGACCTATAAGTGTATCTCAGTGTGCCGTGAATACATAACGTAAGACAATATCGTCAATATCTTACCTCAGACCACCACCAGATGCACCGTTAGGTCCGCTATGATCCTCTGAGGGTCGTCTTTATCTTGTCTGCGCAAACATCGACGTGCAAACAAATCTATCAGACTAAGAGTTCCGTACTTGTTTTTTCATTAGAGTTACCTTAAATATGCATAACTTTTAGAGACAACACAATTCATTCTGACAATGTATTTTAATTTTTTTAAAATTCACTTTTATCAAATAGTCCTACTCGATTTTACTCTCCTGGTTTATTTATTTATATATTTATTTCTGTATTCTTTTACCAGGGTGGCACTAGTCAGTGTCATAGCACTGCTTTTCAGAGTGGCCCTGGGTTCACTTTCTCATCTGTGGTATGAAGATATAACTTGATACCTCCGGGTACGGAAGTATTGTTTTTCAGTGGCTGAAGTGTTGGTTTGTGTGTCTGGTTGGAGTAGGTTGACAGCACGTGGGTGGGGGAAGATTGACAGGCAGAATAACAGATCAAAAGGTCAGACACAGGAAATGAGGTGAAATTAAAGGTTCCGGTATGGCCAGAAGGTGGACATACATGAGGCCGAGGATTGCATGAGTGACCCCCAATTCTGATTTCAAACTTTTTTTTATCCTAGTCTCGATTAAAGTACGTCAAACGATCTTCTTGTTGTTCCGGTAAATTTAAAATCTCCGATTTCTTGTTTTACCATAGGGCATTTTCCGACAAACTGGCATATGTTGTCGCATCAAGCCTTATAGATGTATTCTAGCTACCCTTAAACACTATACATTTTCACCTTGCGAGGCAACGGCACTTTCTACATGATGATCATTCATGATATCATATCATTCATATGCATTATATTAAAACGTGGGTGGCTACAATATGTGTTTGGGATTTAATTGTTTCAACAGCAGCGTAGACAATTTGTGCCTGGCGTGCGTAAACAACAAAATTAAATTACACTGAAGCAAAATTAAATTACTTCTTGGCTGACATGTCATCAGTTACGCAGAATGGTCATTGCGACCTTTGTACAAGCTACAGAACACGTGGGGACGTATGAAAATACATACAAGAGGCCATAAAAATACATTGTGAATGATGCTATCCTCTCGAAAATTCCCTCCATTTTGTTTTACAGCTAGTTCATATCAGACATTGTATGTCATGTCAGATAGTTAAATGTGTTGTATTTGTTCAGGTGTTCGCTTTCGAACTGTCTCCTACACACTCTCTCTGCATAAAGGTAAAGGTAGTCCCATACAGCTATTCCAAGATCAGGGTGTACCAATGGCATCCTGCATTGTTATATCGTTCTAACTAAATATTCATTGCATTCTGTTGAAATTTTACAACATTAATCTTGGCTTCTGGGGTAGATAGATTCTCAAAACATTACGCTAGGACTAATTTTATGCCCAAAATTGCCATAAAACTAACGTTATACTGTTGCTCTTAAAATAGGCAATGTTTCAAATAAGCCACTAGGTAAGTTCTGACCAGAACTTAAATCAAGATTTGAGCAGTATGTTAAGACTGGGTCTTTCTAATATGCATCAAGCCGCCATGCATCTACCATGATGCCTGCGGCTTGATTGATTGATTGATTGATTTCTAATATGTTTTGCTGAAAACTAGATGATGGAAAATCGTTTTCTTTTTCTTTCAAACTCGAATTTTGATACGCTAGTAAAACTGGCTAACGAAGAATTGAAAAGGTTATATCGTGGTATCATTATATCATCTCGCTAGGCACAAAGCTTCGTGTCTACAACGCCGCGGTGGTCTCAATCCTCCTGTACGGAGCTGAGACCTGGCCACTCAGCAACACTCTGGCAGCCAGACTCGACGGCTTCGACAGCAGATGTCTCAGGAGGATTCTGGGAGTACGCTGGTTCGACCACCTGCCTGGCACCGAGCTCAGGCAAAGGACCCAGCAGCCTCCTGCTTCCCGTGTGGCAGCGATGCGCCGAGTCCGCTGGTACGGTCATGTCTTACGACTCCCACCCGACCACCCCACACAGGCTATCCTGAACTTCAGCCCCCAGTCTGCGGGGTGGAAGAGACCGCGGGGGGCCCCCGCACCCGCTGGTCGGACGTCCTGGCCAAGGACCTGGCCCTGGTCAACATCACCCACGAAGAAGCGCAGGGGCTCGCCCAGGACAGATCGAGATGGAAGGAGGTGGTCCACCTAGTAGGCTCGACGCACATTGTGCAAGAGGACTGAGTGAGTGAGTGAGTGAGTGATATCGTGGTTTGAGGCAAATACATTATCAGTCAATGTCAAGAAGACATACTACCTTATTTTCTGTAATAGAAATAAAACCTACAACAGAAGCGCCGAAATCTTTTTAAAAAGTGTGCCCCTTTCTCAAGAGAGTCAAGCCAAATTCTTAGGTAAAATCATTGATGAACGATTGACCTGGAAATCACATATAAGTATGTTAGGTAAAAAAAAATTCAAAAACTACCGGTATTATTGGAAAACTTAAACATCTTCTTTCTAAAAAAAAACATTATTACCATATACAATAGCTTAATATACCCATATCTAACCTACGGGAATATAGTCTGGGGATGCGCCTACAAAACCACACTACAGCCCCTGGTATTACTCCAAAAAAATTTGTTCCTTCAGCCACCGCAGTTTCCACGCACATTCTGCACCTTTGTTTACAAAACTTAAGATTTTGAATATTTTCGATATAAACAGACTTCATCTGATGCTATTTACGTTTAAGTTTCTTAACTGTTCTCTTCCAGACACATTTAATGGTCTCATAAATCTTAATTCCCATTTTCATACATACCAAACTCGACAAAGTGCCCATTTCCATATTCCCCTTGTAAGAACGTCCGTAGCCCAAATGAGTGTAAAATACAAATGTATGATTAATTGGAATAATCTCCCTCTCCACCTAAAATGTGTAACATCAATAATTAGCTTTAAACGCAATCTTAAAAATCACCTACTTTTTTTCCTACCGACATTTGACAAGTTTGAATTTTCCGTTACATGTTATATAAGATTCCAATTTAAATTTCATTTATATATTCTGGAGTCATTGCTTTAATTTTTTGCTTATGTTTGTACTTCAGTTAAACCTCTATTAACTTATTTTTAATATATCATTCCTAATTAGCGTTATTTACCAATTACTTTTGTTATTTATTGTTACTATTTGATTTGTTACCGTTATCATATTGATCAAATTTTTCAATTACTGACTGTTATTTATTGTTACCATTTGATTTGTTACCATTAATTACAGTTGTCAATTAATTTTGTCGGGGGAAGATCACGGACAAGCCATTATGGCTTTTAATTTTTCCCCTGCATATCCTATTTTACTGTAATATGTTCATTTTATTGTTCTTCTCTTTGATTATATGCGAACAAATAAACAAACAAAACAATGTAAGATATATAAGCCAAAAGCAAGCAATAAGGCAACAATATTGAAATATACATCTAATTCGAAGTTAATATTGCACACCGTCTCTTATAGGTCTGTAGGTCCTAATGTATGTAGATAGCCCTTTCACGAACTAGCCCTTATCATGTAATTTTACTTTGTCCAAATAAAGAAACAGCATAGTCTGGTGATTCAATGTTTGTTTTAAATGTTATACGTCCATTGGAACTGTGCTGGGTCGTCTGTGTTTCAGACATCTTTAATTCACGTGCTTTCTGCCTCACCGATGTACGGCTCCCGGCACGGCCCATGTCTTGTTTAGTCTTAGCAATTGCAAGGGATGCATGTTCTCATTTCGAGTAGTTGTCTCAACCGTGTCAAGGTGTCAGTGGGTTTGAGGCAGTTGGAGGCAGCAAAGGTTAGATCAGGTAGACACATTTGTTTTGCACAAATTTGTGGTCTCAATGGCCAGCACAGTGTCATCATCAAGAGTCAGAATATCGTTCACTAGTGGTTTTAGGACTCCAACAGAACGTGCGTGATGACATTCATTACTTCATTACCAGGTATGGGAGTATTGTTTTGGGTGGTTTATTGAGGTTTATTGAGAAAAAATTCTCCTTTAGCTGCCCACCCGAGGGTGGCAGCTATTCTTCCAGGAGAGGGACTATTCTTCCCGGAGAGAGCAGTTGTTTGGCTGAGCAGTGACTGAGCAGTTTGTTTATGTGTCTGTTTCCCGTACAGAGTAGGTTGACAGCACTTGGGTTGGGAAAATTGACAGGCAGAATGACAGGCAGAATGAGGTCGAAATGTCAGACAGGGGAAATGGGATGAAACTAAAGGTCACAAAAAACTGAAAACACTCCCTGGATGTCTGAAATCTCTAATTTCTTGTTTAGTTCGGTAGATGGGACTGAGTGCCCAGACAGGCTGCTATCACAGTGGGCACGCTCTACGGTTATACTGAAGTAACCAGGGAGTATACACCGCAGAAAAAACAACAGCTCCAACCAAAACAGAATTCAAGAATACCCTGCAGCTTCCTTGCCTCTGGCCAGGTTTAACACACCGTGGAACCATTTTCAACTGAAAAAGTGCCCAAAATGTTATGCCGATTGCGAGAATGAGCGTCAAGCAGGCGAAATATGTCAAGGCGAATCGCTCATCTTCGATATTTTTCTCTAGAGCATCGTCAAACCTGTTCAGATGACCAAGTAGGTGCCACAGAATCACACCTATCGTTGCTAAAGCCGTCCAGTAAAGCTCCTTTTCAGTGTTCACAATGTTGACCACATTTTCCTTCATAGCTTCAATTGTTACATCCCATTTTTCACAAGTATTTCCATGACTGGCACGCAAGTTTTGCACTTGTGCTTTTCTAGCTTCACTGATGAAGATATCGTGCGCTTCATGCAGCTTTTTGACTCCTATTGCGACGAAGAAAAATGGCGTCATAATAGTAACGGCAAGTGACAACAGCTGACTAACATGATGGACCCATTCCATCACAGTGGAGATTTGCGAAGAGAAATAAATGTTCGCAAACGAGAAACCAACCATTGTCCCGACAAACATCGTCAGTTTGGTGAAAAATTCAAGCTCTTTCCCAATACCTGAATGACGCGACCAGCTCTTGTCTTTGATTATGTTAGAGACTTGATCGAGAATGCCGTCGGGCTGGTCATTGCTACTGATGATGTTGGCTAACTGCCTGGTGTCTGAGGCCAGGGACACTAAAGCATTGGTTAAATCAATCACATACGAACAACTAAGGAAAGATGGAATGTAGATTACAGTGTAGAAGGAGAGTGAAACGAATGAGCAGACGTAGTGTGGCACATTGTACTCGTGATGAGAGAAGTACCTTATCGTCCACCGTAAAACAAAGAGCTGATCGCAAGAGGCACATTTTAGACTGTGATTAAACAAGGTGGCGCTGGCCCACAGAATTACGTACAGGGCCAGTAAGTACCGTTCGTCATAGACTACACTCTGCTTAATCTTATTCTTCAGTAGATCATCCCAATCGATTTGGTAGCGCCACCGAATAATCAGTATGCCTGACATGAATGTAAACAGCCCGTAGATGAGTGAATAAGAAATAACCTTCTCCACTTTGTGCGGCTGGTGACAATGAGACCACAAGAAGGTGTCGTTAGCAAACGGTGAAATTTTTGTTTCGTTGATGTAGGATACATCTCCAGCGTACCATGTGACATTTGCTACTGTCTCATTATGAGGACTGCCGTTCGTCCTTGCTCTCCACAGGCAGACCAGTTGCATAACAGTACAGAACAAGAACCACCAGAAGCCGACAAAAGGCCAAATTGCTATCCACAGTTTCGCACAGAAACACCTGAACCCGTCGAGGACAGTCTTGAAAACCACACCACAGCGGGCTCTCCTGATGCTTTGTTGATGACCACTGACTCCGTCCCTGTCACCATATGATCTGGATGTGAAAACGTAAAATTCAATCAAAGGACAAACAGAATGAATCAAACGATCACAATAAAGAGTTATATTCTACTTACTATGGAATTAGATATTCACTTTGATTGTATCTGGTGTTTATTACAAGTATAGAGGTTACCATCGCCAAGAAGGTTATGTTTTTGGTGCATTTTCTGTGTGTGAATAGCATACTAATAACTCGAGAATTGTAGAATAAGAATTAAGAATAAGAATTTAAATAAGAATTTCATACTTGTACGTGAAGGACAAGGGTAAGTAAGTTGAATGTGAAGTTAAATGCATATATCATGTTAAATGTTGACATTATTTGCATGATCAATGATAGAATGTTGAAACGAAACCCTACAAAAATATATATTTTTCATATATAATATATGCAATTTTACTTCAGAAGTCCCGAACTGAATTGATTATACTATTTATAATCTTATTCCCATTATCGTTTATTCAGCCTGTCACACAACTGCGAAACCGGTCGTGTGACAGGCTGAATAAAAGTTCTAAACGGGAACTATGCGGCTCCAGATGTCTTACTGAGGGACGACTGTGTGTGCAAGATGTCGGTTAGCTTGAGGAATGAATATTAATCCCCTCTACTATATACGAACTATGAGATGTTGTTATACATGTCGCAGACTAGCTATCATCTTTACGTACGGCAGATGATCTGCAGTGTCCAGAAGGGGACCTCGTTCAACGTCGATTGCGCAGGCCTGCAAAAAAAAGTCCCCATGATGTCATGACTCAGTCAAACATTGCGGAACTGAAAGCGGAAGTTTCCCGCTGACTCATGGGGAAGTTGTGGTAAGGTTTATACAGATACAGACGCCATATATGATACCATATATGAAGACTGTAGCGTAATATAGCATGAGGCAACGTAACGCAAAGATCCACACGATGGACGTTAAACAATCTACATCCGATACACTTGAATACAAGCTAATATCCGGCCATGTATTTTCGAGCAATACATATCGGCACCCGCTGGCGTTGGTGTTTCACTTTCGACTTCTTTCCTGTCTAAAACAATGTCATTGTGGCTTAGTTCAATAATGTTCAATAGTTCTCAAAAGCGTGGTCTCACTAACACTATTTTTGCACTCACTTAGTGAGTCTTTCAAGTGCTAGTGGAGTGGTGCGATTTGCACTGCCCGCCCGACAATGTTAACGTTATAAAAACAAACCACCTGAAAACCTGACAGAAGACGTAAACAGTAGGAACATGCCAAGACGACCTGAAACTATGCACCTGTTTGGAAATCAGAGTAAGATTTTTTGGAATATTTTAATTCGTCAAATATACCTTGGTGCTGGTGCATGTAGAATGGAATTTAGAATAAGTAAGATTCTACCAAGAGCCTAAAGTCGGAAGTGCGTTCACAATCATAACGTATTAAACATTGTAGAATGTTGTACTTCTAAGAAGTCAAATACATGTCGGTCAAGTAGGGCTCACCATTCTGAGATTCTGGTCTACCGAGGAACTGCTAAGTGGGAAGATGTTTGCTACATTCAGAATCAGTCAATCTGCCGTGTTACGCCAGGCTGAAAAATGCGCTGTGAACAATAGGGTCGATTGTTGATATATATGATTCGGGGAATCCCGGTTTCGGTTAATATAATATTTTGTAGGGGAATCCCGGTTTCGGTTTATAAATTTTCTGTGGGGTCGTGTGGCGTAGCGGCAGAGTGCTCGACTCGGTACCAAGAGGTCTCGGGTTCGAGTCCTGACATGCCACCGATCTTGTGCCCGTGGGAAAGGCACTTTACACGACTTTCCTAACTCCGCTCAGGTGAAAATGAGTACTAGTATTGTATTGTCACCTATGTGTTGGTGGCGGCATTAATATAAGTTGAAAAAACTTGAGTGTGCCGTCACCACGTCTTGTGATATACATGTTGGAATAAAAAAAATGTAGAGTTTCGGTCCCCTGGTGGGATCGTGTGGCGTAACTGCTAGGTGTTTAGCCCAGAACCCAGGCGTCTTCGGTTCGACTCCTGTCATGTGCCCTTTGGAAAGCATGCAAAAATGGGTCGGTAAAAGGCGGTCGTCGGAAAGGGACGGGCTCTGCCTTCCAATACTGTGCCCTTGAGGGCACAGCCCACTAATTCCAGCCCCTATTGGAATATATGGAAAACATCTAAGAACTGAGCTGTCAACAATCACCTACTTGAGTGTTCAACTATTGCAAACACATATTGACAGGGTAGTCCAACTTCCAAATTGTCCATTTAGTCCAAAAATTTCACTTTTTGACCAGCGATACCTGGCACGGCAAATGCAAACACTGGCAGCATGACCTCTGACCCCCTTGAAGACCACCAAAAGACAAGAAGATGGGATTAGTTTTAGAACCTACCAAGCAGCCAAAACAACCCTAACAGCCAGTTTTTTCAAGTTAATAGAAATAGAAATAACTCTCCAGCTGGAAAATGCCAGCATTTATCCACACATACCAAGAAAAAGGCTTTTTCAGTTGTTTGGCTGCACTCACTCAAAGGGGTCTCAGACTGGGCCCTCTGGGCATGCGCCATTTGGTGGCCTTTGCCCTTGACACAGAGGACCTATGGCCTCAAAAAGGCTATCGGCTATTCCGATTTCGGTGTTGTACTTGGGCCAATTTCACATTTGTCCACTTTCAATACGGAAAATAGTACTACAAGTGATACCATGCATGATGCTTTTTAAATCTTTGGATAGCGATCAGCGGTTTTACAATGGCACTATACGGACACTACAGCTCATTATGCACATAACAACAAAATTCGTTGTATCCTCCAACGATTTGTTTCAAATGTGAAATTGCGTCATTGTTCTAAAAATCGCCAGTCCTATTACGTATACGGTTGGCGGGGGGGGAGGTACAAGGATATATTTTGCTTTTTTTTATAACATGCAATGCATGTGGTTAACGGCACTCCAGGAAAAACGATTTTTTCCAATTATCATCTAGTTTTCAGCAAAACATATAAGAAAGAGCCAGTCTTAACATATTGCTCAATTGTTAATTTAAGTTTTTGGTCAGAACTTACCAAGTGGCTTATGAAAAACTGTTCTCCGACTCAAAATTTAACTCACCAGAAATTTTCGACTGAATCACTCAGTCTTCCTCAGCTATCTGACCCAAATGCTGTGGACACTTGATTTTTCCCACGTGTGACGTCAGCAAAGGGTCAAAGGTTGTATGAAGTCGATATCGCCCCCCGTCCCGGTTAAGCGATGGTTGAGGTGCCCTGATGTATATGGCCTCTTTATGCCTCTCTTGAAGTAATCCTGTTCGGTATCCAAGATTCTGACCCCCTCCAGATCCACTGTGTGTCCCGGTGATTCTATGTGGATGTGCTGTGACACCTCAGATGCAACAGAACTCGGTCGTCTATGTTCTAGAAACCTGGTTTTTAGTGGCTTATTTGAAAAATTGCCTATTTCTAAGAGCAACTGTATAACGTTAGTTTTATGGCAATTTTGGGCATAAAATTAGTCCTAGCGGAATGTTTTGAGAATCTATCTACCCCAGAAGTCAAGATTATCTGGACAGTACTTGTATTTACATCATATGTTGTAAAATTTCAACAGAATGCAATGAATATTTAGTTAGAACAATATAACAATGCAGGATGCCATTGGTACACCCTGATCTGGGAATAGCTGTATGGGACTACCTTTACCTTTATACAGAGAGAGTGTGTAAGAGACAGAAGGAAAAGCGAACACCTGAACAAATACAACACCTTTAACTATCTGACATGACATACAATGTCAGATATGAACTGTAAAACAAAATGGAGGGAATTCTAGATCTCGGAGGATAGAAACATTCACAATGTATTTTTTATATATAAATGGTTTTTATTGTACCCGTGCAGTCGCAGCCTTTATACGGCTGAATTGATGCAGGGTATCACATAATAATCAATACAAATCACAACAATTACAACAATCAAATAATACACATGAGACACATATTTGTTCCACCTTTATTTTTTGTGGAACCATCATAATTTTTATGACCCTCTTGTATGTATTTTCTTACACGTCCGTAAAGGTCTGTACGCCTGTACAAAGGTCGCAATGACCAATGATGACATGTCAGCCAACTAATTTAATTTTGCTTCAGTGTAATTTAATTTTGTTGTTTACGCACGCCAGGCACAAATTGTCTACGCTGCTGATGAAACAATTATATAAATCCCAAACACATATTGTAGCCACCCACGTTTTAATATAATGCACATGAATGATATGATATCATGAATGATCATCATGTAGAAAGTGCCGTTACCTCGCAAGGTGAAAATGTCCAGTGTTTGACGTAGCTAAAATGCATCTATAGATGTCGGAAAATGACCCCACATCAGTTAGGATTGAAACACTAATTCCTAACCCTCTGGTATCTGCATCATGCTTGTTCCAAATCGTTGTAACACGTGGTATAAACGAAGATGCAAAAGAGGATGATTTTACTCTTGTTGGAACTAGCACGTGTGCTTCATGTGGCCAAGAGCTATCCAGTTAAAAAGTCATGATCCTACCATACAATTAGCAGTCCAACCAATGACAGCCTGGCAATTAGCGGTTTGACCAATGATAGAGTGACCAGTGCATGTTCGTCAAAAATTTGCTCTTGTATACATGTACTACAGTATCCTTTGGGTTGGGGCATTTCGCCTTAGAAAAAGTTCTGGCAAAGCTACATGTTTCCGAAGGCATGGGATTGTTATTCTGTCATTCTGAGACAGAATTGCAATATTAGGAAACTATTATTTAACAATTTTTCAATACATTTCGGCAGGACCGATACGGTAATGGAGAAGTAATATCAAGAGGCGGCGGCAGGAAATTTTGATTGGGGGGGGGCGAGATTTGTATGGAACCCACAAGTCGAGCAGCGAAGGCGTGGCGCACCTAGGGGGTCCGGGTTATGCTCCCCGGGGAAAATTTGAAATTTTAACCCTCTGAAACGCGTTTTCCTGCATTTTGGGGGGAAATTTTGCTGTTACACGAAGCTAAATTTTGAGTACTTTGTAGCTAAGTTTCTTACTCGCGCGCTATTCGAGTACATCCACTTCCACATGCTATCTTATTATCTCAGTCCACAAGGGGAATCGGGGCATGCTCCCCGGGAAAATTTTAAAATATTGACCCTCTGGAAACGCCCTTTCCTGTATTTTGGGAACGCATTTTGCTGCACTGGTACACAAAGTTAAATATCGCTATTTGACTACATTTCGTCTATTCATCTCATCTCAGTTCATCTCCACAAAATTTCTTTAGTAGGACATTCTAAAAAAACGGGCAAAAAACGTTGAGCCAGTCCTGGGTTTAGTTAAAATTACCTTGTACGGTTTAATCTCATCCGCGTTCAACGCACTCCGAGTTCTGCACATGTCCGTACGCGGTATTTTCGTTCGGCTGACCCGGGCATGTATTGTAACAGTCAACGCTTGCTTGTTGTGCTTCCCCTGCATGTAAGTTGTCCTGGTACATGTAGGTACGAGTACATGTAGTGTTCCTATTCTGCTGCATTCCCTGGCCCTGGCACGTGTTGTACCAGACACAGCTTGCTTGGTGTGGTGTCCCTGCATTTAGGTTGTCTTGGTACTGTTGGTAAGTAGTCTCACGACTATTCTGTACCATGTTTTCACTAGGGCACGTGTTGTAACTAGTACAGGTTGCTTGGCGTGGTGTCCCTACATTTAGGTTGTCTTGGTACTGTTGGTAAGTAGTCTCACGACTATTCTGTGGCATGTTTTCACTCGGGCACGTGTAACCAATACAGGTTGCTTGGTGTGGTGTGCCTGCATTTAGGTTGTGATAGTCAGTGTTCACTTTGCTAATCGGTGGCATCATTCGAGCCACACGTGCAAGCTGGTGAGCTGAAGTTGTTAGTTGTTGTTCCCCTGTATCAAGGTTGCCACCGTGGTACATAAGGTTCCTGATTGGCGGCACGATTTGAGCCAGGCACATGTCTGTAGATGTTGGTAACCCTGGTGCTCCAGCAGAAAAACCGTCCATCGCTGTGGATGTATTTACTGCCGCAGCACCGATGTCGTCTTCAGACGTCACGCGCCTTATCTTTCTCATTATGTACAAGATAAAAAGTAACGCCAGAAAACTAACCGACACCATAATGATAATTTGTTCACTACCGATCGCTAGTTTACTGATCTCCTTACTGTTTACTTCCTGAATGCTTGTGTTGTTCTCGAGAACAGGGCCTGAGAACATAGGACCCCCTAGCGGATTTGTGTATACTACAGATTCTACTGTTGGGACCAAAGATACAGTTTTTTCACGAACACCAGCTTGATATGGAGTGGAAATTCTGTCAGTGTTTCGAAGTTTGACAGAAGTGGATGCTGTCGTTGCAACCTGCTCACGGCCAGCCGTCTGTGTAGAGACAGTCGTTCTCGCCTCACACGGTATTTTTTTAGGGGTGTCCACGGCTTTTGTCAGAGACAGTCCCCGCAACGAGTCTGGACTGGTACAGAGGAGGCTGTCGTGGTTCAGCCGAGAATGAAGAAAACAGGCTTCACATTCGTAGCAACAATGCACACCAGCACGTGGACATTCTTGCAAACATCTGACTTTGTTCATTAACCACAGCAGCGCACAGTCACAGTTGAAAGGGTTGCTGTCGATATTGACCTTCTCCAAAAACGGAAGTCCCAACCCCTGGACAGAGACTGAAGTGAGTCTGTTACTCGATAAATCCACCAACTTCAGATCTGGAAGGTGGTTTATAACGACATCCAAATTTACACTGGTTATCTTGTTATCATTTAAGTGAATATTCTGTAAGGCCGGTAACCGGCGGAGTGATACCCAAGACACGGTTTCAATACGGTTTGATCGTAGGTTCAACGTGCACAGATTGTAAAGAAGCGGGACATGTGTGAGGTTTCTAATGCTGTTAAACGACGCATCCAAGCTAACAACATCATCAGGTATTCCTGAAGGAAGGTCGGTCAGACTGTGGTATTGAAACAAGCAGACTAAAATCCCCCGGAAGATCCTACAACCTAGTGGGTTCTCTCCCACACACGGCACTACAGCACACGGCAGGACCAGGGAGAGGAGTAACCAGCTGTAGTTTGTTGTTCGAGCCATGAAACGGTGACGCTTCTTTCCTGTGGACAAGAAAATTACCTTCCTGAAATACATAATTTTGAAGTTCGTAGATCGATTGCAAAGATGAGAATTATTTCTAGCCATAAATTGAATATAGAATTAGGAAGATATAAAAAAATCCCTCGCGACCAGAGGTTTTGTCCATTCTGTCCCAATGATATTAAAGAGGAACAACATTTTATTTTGAATTGTACACTATATAACGATAAACGCACAAAGCTGTTCAACCTTCTCTCCGCCTGCTCAACAGAATTTGTTACATTTCATGCTATAGATAAATTTAAGTTCATCCTAGAAGGCAATAGCCCTTACTGTGTACAAATAGGTAAATATATCAAAGTATGTTTAAACCTTAGAACAAGTAGTATTAGTTGACCCAGCTATTGTTCTGTACGTAGGATATTTTCGTTGTACCCATGTATATTTGTCTGCATATCTACATGTCTTAGACCTTACGAAAGTCACTGTACTTTTGTTGTGTCAATAAAGTTCTCTGTAAACATATGTGGATATGACTCGTTAAAGACCTTCAATGCAATTTCAGGGCGGCAAAACAGGATTTTTAAACTCAATGTTTTGGTCATTATTTTAATGTAGTAAGTTGAATCAATCCTATCCCATATCATAACGATATGCTGTAAGTGTAAGGTAAAATGTGATGTCGCTGACGGAAAACGGTTGCTTGTTTTGTATCGTACGCTGGTTCTGGCTATTTATGGGTGGTACCCAAAAATAAAGGACCCCCCCCCCTCCTCACCTAGCTTGTTTTGGGGGCCATTTTAAAAGATTTCATATGAACCTATATTTATAAATGTGCTAAGAAACGGCAGTAAGTGGCAATATCAGACAGATTTCCTTATCAGATTTTTTCTTTCTTTTTCTTAAGCCTTTGCTGCCCTGAAATTGAAGGGGGATACCGTTGAAGAAGAACTTTATTTCTCTGCTATTTGGCCACTCTGGACCACAGCAACATATATATCCCTTTCTATAGTATAGTTTGCGCGGAAACAACTAGGGAGGGGGGGGGGTAGAAACATGAAGTCTACTGGCTCTTGGGAATCGAACCCGGGCCGCCAGGTCACGAACACAATGCACTAACGGCTAGGCTAAAAGGTCTGCACCTGTTATATTAGACAGGTCAGTTGTTGGCGCTTGAACCTCTTGTTCTTGTTACAGCACTGATGTTTTTGTACCACCTTTCCACCAGAGACCACGTCATTGTAGAGGCTGCGGCCGCTTATCATGAGCGATCAAAGATTCTTTTTTTATTACGATTCGAATCAGGAAGACATAACCGCACTCCTGTAGAACAAAGAACCTGTCAATTCTGTAGTTTAGGCCAAATAGAAGATGAAATACATTTCACCATAGATTGCCCCTTGTATAGTAGAGATAGACTCATATTTTTTACCTTCGCCAAGAAGGTTATGTTTTCAGGGGCGTTCGTGTATGTGTGTGTTTGTGTGTGTGTGTGTGTGTCTGTAAACACGATAACTTGAGAAGGCCTTGATGGATTGTCTTGATACTTGGTAGGTGGATAGGTCTTGATGAGACCTCAAAATGATTAGATTTTGGACCCCCTAGCGGCTTGTTATGGTATTGCAGCTGAACTTCCGGTTTTGATATCTCATGATCTAGACATGCTATGGTGATGAAATTTGGATGGTAGGTAGCTCTTGTGCTGGGGAAGAAGTGATGTGAGTTTAGGCCCCCTAGCGGCTTGCTCTGGAACTGCAGGGATATATTCTTGAAAATATTCAAAAGGGGATAACTCAAGAACCAGTTGACGGATCGTTGTGGTTTTTGGTATGTAGGTAGCTTACGTGATGCTTAATATAATTATGTGACAATTATGCAAATATGGATGTAATTTGCATAATTTATGGGGAAATTCTATAAATCATCTGCATTCCATGATAGGACAATTGAAGCTTGTGACATTGGTAATTGACAACGAGAGAAACACAGGAAGATATTGATTATGTTAATAATGACTTAATTTGCATAATTAATGAGAAAATTTTATAATTATGTAATGATAACTGCCTGGAATTTCATACTTGTGGTATTTGAAAGTTAAATTGAGGTGAACATCATCAAACATAATTTATTCAAATCAGAACCTCATTTGCATGATTTATTAGGAAATGCTAGAATGCATTGTTTGTTAATATAAGACTGTCTTTTGGTTGAGATTATGATAAAATGATATAATTCATGAAAATTAGGTTCCTATTTCTTAAATCAGGGGGGAATAATCTAATCTATAATTTGTCAGTCATAAAGATTAACATCATTTGGCGAAGGTATGAGATCGGGGAACTCTAGTTAGCCATGTATTAAGTATATTTCCCCACTTCAGATATTTGACTAGTAAAGAGAAATTTGTATTCCTTTTTAACTTTTGATAAACCTACTCTAAGTAATCCCACCAGCCGCATATATCCATACAATCACTACTAAGCGAGATGAAGCCGAAAAGAATAGAAATTAGACATTTATTTACACTCTTATATGTTCATATGTATGTAATGTATATGTTTATGTTCTGTACCCATGCGACCTGTACTTAGTTCTGTAGAACACAAATGTACAAAAAAAGATCTTCATTCATTCATTCATTATATTCCAACATCTAATCACAAGACGTGTTGACGGCACACTCAAGGTTTTTCAACTTATATTAATGCTGTCACCAACACAGGGGACAATACAATACTCATTTTTACCTGAGCGAAGTGAGGAAAGTCGTGTAAAGTGCCTTTCCCACGGGCACAAGATCGGTGGCATGTCAGGACTCGAACTCTTGATTCCGAGTCGAGCACTCGGCCGCTACGCCACACGACGCCACGAATCAAAGATTTGACTGATACGTATTTCATAGATAAATAACGAGTTTTCTTTATGTTTGAGTGTTTTGTTACCTCCATAAAAATGGCAACAGACATCTTTGCCCATTTTCGGCATGTTGACCACTGCCAGAAGGCAACAAAATTTCTTTTTATTTCAAAATCAGCCGAAAATTAATGCGCGCGCTGATCTCATCCATAAAAATTACTTGCTGTGGCCTTAAGCTTATTAGAGATGCCAAGTTGATCAGCACGAAAGTTACGGCTTGTGTCCCGCCTCGGACTGCATGTGAGCGATAACTTTACAAGTGGCCTGGCTTACAGCTTGTCTCCTAAAATAAACAGCCGGCATCGACGGTGCTATGTCATTTTGCCCAGTGGGCAACCAAAAAAAAAAGGATTTCAAATCCTGCTTTACCTTGTTTAACAGAAGCAGATTATCATCAACCGATGTTTCCTGTTGTAGAGTGTGCGGCTTGACCTGGTAGAAATCTTGCCACTTCCCGCACCAGTTTGGCACCACCAGGGCTGGTGTGGGTTTTATTATATGTTGTTTGCTTGCTGTGCGTCATAGCACTTAATATTCAACACATGTCAACCCTGTTTATTCATTAGTTAATCATGTGTGGTTGTGGTACTAGACAATATCGTCGAAAAATGTTATTGGTCAGCCATATGCCCTGTCAGACACGGCATTTTCTTACCGTAGATGAAATGTGAAGGACATCGGGGTATTTTCAGTGTTGTTATTGTTTGTGTATGTAGTGGCGTACCAGTATATTCAGTTGCAAATAACATTATGAAAGGCAGCAAACTCCATAGATATAGAGTAAACCAGTTTTTGTAATTAGACATATACCATGAGATGAGAGAGACACACACACATCACAAAAGCTATATATAAGCAAACCCTTTCAACCCTTTCTGCATGTGTTTTGGGACGTCAGTAATAACTTCTGCGCTTATGAATTACGAGTAAAGCAGTGCAAACAAGGGAATCTCTGAAACTTTTTAAATGGTCGAAAAAGCAGGCGCGGGGATGTCATCCATATTTGAGGTTATGTCATTTTCATTCAAACTGTTCTCCAACTAAAAAGAATTAAACTGACCATACGTTTCGACCAAATCTATTGGCTTTATCAGCTGATCAAAGTGCTGGTCGAAAATTCTAAAGTCACATTCTTTTTGAGTTGGTGTTTTCATTTCCATTATGTAATTTAACAACACATATGTACTTTTATGCTAGTAGCTATGTCGTTTAAGTTGGCACTGTTAAGTCTTGACGTTTTAATTCAGTCCTGAAGTCCGTTTTAACTGAGATCATATGATAGCTGCCCCCTCCAATTCTTTTTTCTTGCAAGCGGCAGTGATCACCCCACAATAATAGAAACGAAGCTGCAATTTGCTTGTTAGTCGCTAGATGTCCTGGTCAGCTCATTGAGCTTTTAATGTGTGAAATCAGGCCGTGTCTAAACGGAATCACCCAAGGCGGTTTACATGTGGTTTACCCCGAAGCCGGTTTCAAGTGGCTCCATCTGAACGCTCCGAAATCACATTGAAAGCGCCTCGATCCCAAGCCACTTCTAGAGGTGGTTTCGAATCGGTTTCCCCGCATCGCGATTTGCGTCTGAACGCAATTTGATTTCAATGTGACTTCGCCTGGTCATGGATTACGGAGTGATATTTCTTTTTTATATGCAATACCAACTTTTACGTGGCAGCAACTTAAAGAGCAGTAATGGTCAAATAATGTGTCCGTTCTAGGGCGAGCTTCACCGCCTCTGGCGGGACCACGTCGGCATTCGGCCGAGATACGCTGGGAGGGGGGCATCAGCAAGCAGGTCGTTGACCTCTGACATTAATAACAGGCCGCATTGCGTGTTATCATCAAACAGCAATAAATGTAGCTAAAGCGCATTATGTTCGGACACGGTTTCGCAGGTGTGTGTGGCACGTGGACCAGATGTGAGGAATGTGAGTTACCCGAATGGCGGTTAGGGTGATTCCGTATAGACACGGCCTAAGTGTCAACCCACAGACAGGTGCAGATAAATGCATAATGGTTGGATCTCAAACTAGTATCTGATGTATGCATGGAAGGATTGTAATATTATTTGACATGTGGATAGG